GGCATTTCTCCCCATGCTCTCTCTCCCCAACTCCCCACCCCCACTGTCCCCCCCAGTTCTCCCCCACAGACCCCAGTGTGTGATGCTCTCCTCCCTGTGTCCATGTGTTCTCATTGTTCAACACCCAGCTATGAGTGAGAATATGTGGTATTCGATTTTCTGTTCTTGTGTCAGTTTGCTGAGAATGATGGTTTCCAGGTTCATCCATGTCCCTGCAAAGGACACGAACTCATTGTTTTTGATGGCTGCATAATATTCTATGGTGTATATGTGCCACATTTTCCCTGTATTTTATTAAGAGAAAGGGCCACATTATGTTGCCCAAGCTAGATTCAAACTTCTGGACTCAAGTAATCCTCCTGCTTCAGCCTCCCAAGTAACGGACTACTGGGGTGTGCCACTGCCCTAGCTTAAGATATTATTTTAATAAGCCACTCAGTTAAATAAAAAAGTATTGATGGGGACTGGAAAGAAATAATAGAATGTGAGCATGTATTTTTCTTTTCAACCACACACGGCAATCCAGTGAGCAGGTGTTTAAGAAAACTACAGCTTCATGACTGATTTGCCTGTAATGTGTCTACACAGAGTCATGTGTAACTTCAAAGCTGCAAACTGTGGATTCAGAGGTGGCAATTTTTGTTAGTAAGATGCTAACGAAGAAGATATTCTTCCTATTCTTTATATATCTGAATACCAGTTTTCATAGCTGTACAGTGGAAATCATAGCATCTTATTTGATTTATGAAAGGATTAGTGATAAGGTATGTAAAATACTTGGCATGTAGTTGAGCAATAAATTATAATTATTACCATTTGTATTGATCAGGTACTTTACTATGAATGAGAGGGCAGACACATTAGGATATATTGCCTTATTAATAGCATTATTCCTTCAACACAATCATTCTGGATTTCTTCCAATCTTTAAGTCAGCTTTCAGTGATATGAAGTCAGCTTTCAGTAACATTCAGTAATATGAATTGCGGTTTTATACATTTGCATAAAATTATTGCTGTTCTTTTTGCTTGTCTTGCCTCCTGCTGACTCATAGAATCAGCTTTAAAATAGACGAGCTACATTTATTTTTCGTAATGCTGCTACAGCAATGGCTTAAAATAATTCTGATATGCCCTTAATAATTAAGGCTGCACACAAACTTTGTTCTAATTGAGAAATAATTCACAGATAATAATAATTTTGGATAGCTGGGAACTATTAACATGCAAAAGGTCTTTCTTATAATTTCTCTTATTTCTCTCTCCCTTCCTTTTGTATGATTTTAAAGGCAAACTCCAGTGGTATAAAAATAGACTCTATGTCAATAAAAATGGTTTGAAAGAAAAAAATTATGTAACTAGTTTTCCATACATAATTTATTAAAATCTTGATTCACAGAAAAAATAAGCCAGGAGATAAACAAGGTGTAAAATTTTTTTCTCATATTGTTGCAATGCACTGTTATACTTTTATTCTTTTTGTGTCTTTATTCTTTGTTTCTCCAATCACATTGTAAGGCCTGTGGGGGCAGGATCAATGTCTTATTGTTTTTGTGCCCCTTTCAAGTGCTTATCACAGTGCTATGTAATTGCTGATGGGGAAATTGTCTTTAAATGTGGTGTTTATAGTATGATCTTATTGACAGAAATATTTACATGTTCAGAATCATATCTATATATCTTGCTAAAACCTATTACATTATTGCTCCTATTGTAGCTAAATTATTTATCTAATTACAAAAGCAAGGCTGCTTTCTCTTAGCAACATTTTTTCTTCATCTGAGTGATATCTGTGCATCTAACTCTATTATTCAGCAGGGAATTATCCAGGTTTCTGGCTGCTCCTTCTGTTTATTGGTGGTACTGTTTGCTTTACCATTGTGCAAGTATCAATGAACCATAATCATTACTTTCATATGTGTATTCTAGAATTTTACATGGTTCCCATCTCCACACGTAACTGTTCATTCTATTAGCAAATGACACTTCTAACAGGTAGTTGTTCTCTATGGGGCTAAATTGGTATATAAATAATTTGTGCAAATAGTAACCTTTTCACATTATCCATCTCTCTCTATGTATCTGTATGTGTCTGTCTATCATCTATTCTATCTATCTATTTATCTATCTGTCAGTTCATCCACCCATCCATCTGTCTCTTCATCCACCATACTCAACGTACTGTGCTAGGTACAATAGGGATGAAAGAAGGCATAAGATTTAGTCTTTTCTTAATGCAGCTTACCATCTATTGAGGAAAAAAATATGTATACATAGAGAAAACGATCAGAAACCACAGTTGTACGTGATGTCACAAGTAAGTGATAAGAGCTCATACACTATAGATGATGCAAGAAAGATATTTTGGGCTGGAATGATGTGGTGTGTTCACTGAGTCTGACAGTGATCTGATATAAACAAAAAGCACAGGACAATGAATTGCAAGACTAGGTTTTTACCTACGCAACTTACTATTGGAACATTATGAGTTGGGCTTTCTAAACTACATTTTTCTCATCTGGAAATTAGGAATAATGATCATGACAATAACTTCTCCACCTTTTTCTTTGATTTGTGAATCGTATAATCAAATAAAATTATATAAAAAGTTCTGAGAATATTAAAGTGCAATCCAACTTAAGGATGTGTTGTTTTTTCGTCAACTACTACAATGATTCTGCTCAAATATTAATAATTTAAGAGATATTAAAAGCTCAATAGGAAGAGAGGAGCAATGCTGGTTATGTAATATGTGTGTTTGCATGTTAATAGGAAAAGAAAAACTTCAAGTTGGTAGCATGAAATCTGCCACGGTGGGAATATTTACACCACAGAACTCAGCAAACACTACAAATTGGGGCTTCCTTTTTCGGAGAGCTATTTACCAGCATATTACTGGCCTGAACAAAAGCAACAGCAATAGGACTGGAAAGGAGGAAATACATACTACAGGGATGAATGAGGTAGAATCAGAAGTTCTCATGATCAGTTGGTTAATGGGGGGTGGCATGTCAATGGAGAGATTCTAAAATGATTTATCAAGTTGTTGGCTTGGATGATTAAAGGGGAAAACTGTGCCTCTTACCAAGAGGAGGACTTCAAGATGGGGGAAAGATAGTGTTCAGGGAATGTTGAAATTGAAGTACTTGTGGGACACGATGGTGAAGATATCCAGAAGACAGTGGTTATATGGATATGGAACTCAAAGGAGAGGTCTGGATTCAATATGGCAGTCATGAGGCTGTAACTAATAGGAGTCATGGGAATGGATGAACTTCACAACAAATGGACCCTGGGAAAGGCTGCAGTTAAGTCTTCATGTTTTATAAAGTAATTATAAACCATGTCTTTTTGTTCAAAGACAGTTTGAATACGTGGGTAATGTTTCTTTGTAAATTCTGCTTTTAGAAGTAAAATTATCACTTCAAGGTAACTGAGTTTTAAGGAAAATTGATATCTGATGAAAAATGTTATGGATTTGATTTGTAAGGTCTTCACAGCAAGAGTTATAAAAACGAAATTTGAAAACAATAACAAAAATTTCTTTAATATCCAAAAGAAGTTTATGTCAAACAGTTGAAAGAACAAAAATATTCTAGAACAAAGAGGGAAACAAATTATTTTAGAAATCAACTTAAATATAACTTCTATCTTAGCCCCATGTTGTAATTACTACTTTGCCTTACCTTTGGGGCTGGTGGGGGCTGGGGCACAACACTGTGTCTTTTATTTATGTTTAGGGCGTTGTACGTGGTATATACTAAGGAAAAAATACTTGTTTATTCCATGCCAGAATGGGAGGTTTGAACAGATAACCTGGAAAGTCCCTTTCAATCTTTAGGGTATGTGAAAAGGGGAGTGGTTATTACTTACCGCTTAATAGAAGTAGGCTTAGTCCTACTTCCAGAGAGCCAATATTTTCAAAGTTACAGAAAGGTAATAGACCATCAGCTCAATATTACACTGGTAAGAATTTTCTAACAATTACGGCTAACAGAAGAAAGACTGCCTCGGGAGGTGGTTAGCTTGGAAACAACTGGTATTTAAGGGCTGGAAGGGCCCTTGGAAATCGTTAGGTCTTTCTAATCTTTTTCATGCCATTGCCTATAAAGAAAATGGTGTTTCTATTAACACAAATAAAAATCGTACAGCAATACTTGTCACATGTTCTCACGGCTTTAGAGGGGAAATTGATTTAGTCTAATATCCTCGTTTGCAGAGGGGGAAACTGAATCTTTGAATCTTAACGAGGGAATGCAATATACTCAGGTCAAGACGCTAATGGAACTAGAACTGAGACTAGAGACTGCACAACTAGCCAATTTCCTCTGCTCAAATTAAGCACGTTAGAGGACAGACTGGAAGACTGCGGTAGGTGGTAGAAAAAACAGTCTAAAGCCATGTTACTTTAAATTTGGTCCCAAGACCACAAACATTATAACTTGTTAAGCTCTGGGGAACTCGCTAAAATGCAGATTCATAGGCCCTACGCGGAATTAAGCTCTGCGTAAGGCCTTGGAATTTGCATTTTTAAGTTTACGAATCCCCTGCTGTCCTGGTACTATTTCTGAACTCCGAGCTGCAGCCCTGGCTTGAACTAAGAGGTTCGGCAGGCCGCGCAGCACCCGCCGACCGGACCTCGGGGTCCTGGATGCAGGACTGTCTGTTACGTACAGCCCTTGTGGCCGTCACGGGCGGACAACGGTCAACGCCAGGCCGAGGTGAGGCCGCCGCTGTCCCTCCATCACCTTCCTGGCCCGGTAGGGGAACCCACTGCTGCGGGCGGCTGGGGCCAGAAGCGGCTCGGGCCAGAGGCGGCTCAGCAACGCCCCCTCGAGGCCTGAGCTCTCCCCAGGATAACAGCTTGCGGTTTCTCTTCATTTCCGCGGATCCTCTTCCGCCACCCGCCGAGGACCTTCTCCGACGCCTGCGCCCCTCTCCGACGCCTGCGCCAATTCTGCTTTGCCCCGCCCCCGGTCTGCCGACCGGATGTTAACAACTTTCCCATAGTTCCTAGCGAATGGTGGGCCTGATCGCAAACTCCGGAGGGTCGCACGCGGGTTCGGGTTGTCTTTGCCGGGGTTGTTCTGTGGTGCCAGGAGGCTCTCCGAAATTGGGGCCCGGTGTCTGCCTCGTCCTCTAGTGCGATGGCGTTTCTCCGAAGCATGTGGGGCGTGCTCAGTGCCCTGGGAAGGTCCGGAGCGGAGCTGTGCACCGGTTGTGGAAGTCGACTGCGCTCCCCCTTCAGGTAGGCCAGCTCACCTGTGCCCTAAGGGGCGGCAGGGCCCAGGACGTCCAGAGGCTGGAACGTAGACCCTGTCCTCCACTTTCTGCCCTTCCTAGGAGTTCAGAGCCAGCCTGGTTCTTTGATTCAAACTTCGACCTTGCTAAGGGGACGGTAGCTTTGAGACCAGGCCTTACTCCCTTAGTACCCTGTATCTTGTTTCCTCCTACCCACCACTCCCTCTTCCCACACCTCCCCACTGTCCAGCTTTGGACCAGTTCCGCCGCCTCTGCGGATTCCCGCCGAGTCTCCAGCGATCATCTAGGCATGGAGGAGGCGGGGCCCAGGAGCTGGAGTGTAGACGCTTTCCTCCGGTTTCAGCCCTTCCTAGGAGATAAGAGCTTTGAGACTTAAGTCCCGCAGACGTCTCCTCCGGTTAGGACGGAGTTTTATTAAGTCTCTAGCATTCTTGTTGAAGGTGTTAGATACATAGTGTCTTGATGACATCTCTTATTTGGGATCTATGTTCATATACATGTGAATATTGACAGTTAAACATCTGACGTTGGTTATTTTCTTTTTATTTATATGTAGTTTTGTTTATTTACCGAAATGGTTTTCATCTGCCGTGGCACGTTACCCAAAGAAACCTGTAAGTTCTTACATTCGATTTTCTCAAGAACAACTACCCATACTTAGAGCTCAGAACCCAGGTAAGGAGTTTGGGGGCGTGCACCCTTTTCTCATGTAATAAAAATGACACTACGCAGTTTTAATAGCAATGCTGAATTGCAGTATTAAAGCATTCAGTGACTGCAGGAACAATCATTTGATGTCTGTAAAATAGGAAGTTCTATTTTACACCAAATAGAAATGCTTTAAACATAAATGAGAACTAATAAAAGGTATTTTAAAAATAACATATAGTGTAGAAAGCACCCTAGGAAGAGGATAAAACTGAATTTGGGGCCTAGTTGCCTTTGGTCTAGAGAACCACTGATGAATTATTTTCTCTTGCTTAGCTCCTCCTTTTTCTGCCTCAGGGAATTGTTAATAAAGTTGATGCTTCTGTGGAAGCATCCATAAAGTATAAAGCTCTATGCAAATTACTGCAAATTTCAAGAGCTTTCAAGATAAGAATGGATAAACCTTTCCATCCTAGGAGTTCAGAGCCACCCTGGTTCTTTGATTCAGACCTCGACCTTGCCAAGAGGTTGGTGGGTTGTAAAGGATAAATCCTTTATTGTCTTGGGTTCCAAGAAAACATTTCCAGGTAGGATGTTTATTGACTTCCTAGAAAGCCTTTAGGGCTCTTATTTTAAGTTATAGTGTAAAGATAATAGCTAATTTTTTATTTTGATTTCTAAGACATCACAGGGCACTTGTGAAAATCTACCCAACTGTAATAAAACTCACATTAGGCTGGGGGAGGTGGTTCACACCTGTAATCCCAGCACTTTGGGAGGTCAAGGAGAGTGGATTGCATGAGCCCAGGAGTTTAAGACCAGCCTGGGAAACATGGAAATCCTGTCTGTACTAAAAATACAAAAATTACCTGGGTGTGGGGGCGCAATGCCTGTAGTCCCAGCTACTTGGGAGGCTGTGGTGGTAGGATCACTGGATCCTGGGAAGTTGAGGCTACAGTGAGCCATAATTGCTCCACTGTGCCCCAGTCTGGGTGACAGCGAGATCCTGTCTCAAAATAATAATAATAATAATTTTTTTAAAAAAGCTCACATTATAGCTAAGGAGCTAGTTTCAGAGACATGCTTAAGTACCCACATTTTTTAAATGTAAGAGTTGCTACTAACAGATATTTTTAAATATCAATTGCTACAAAATTAGCTGGGCATGGTGGGGCATGCCTGTAATCCCAGCTACTCAGGAGGCTGAGGCAGGAGAATCGCTTGAGCCTGGGAGGCAGTGGTTGTGATGAGCCAGATCGCGCCATTGCACTCCAGCCTGAGCAACAAGAGTGAAACTCTGTCTCAAAAACAAACAACAACAAAAATCAATTGCACGCCATCATCCCAGTTAAGATGAAGAAGGAAGTGGAGAATAACAGGTTGAATTTCAAATAGCTTGTTTCCAAATAGTATTTTTGTTATTGAAATATGAGGTTGTGTTATATGAATCAAGACTGTATTTTGGGCCGGGCGCGGTGGCTCAAGCCTGTAATCCCAGCACTTTGGGAGGCCGAGGCGGGTGGATCACGAGGTCAAGAGATCGAGACCGTCCTGGTCAACATGGTGAAACCCCGTCTCTACTAAAACTATAAAAAATTAGCTGGGCATGGTGGTGCGTGCCTGTAATCCCAGCTACTCAGGAGGCTGAGGCAGGAGAATTGCCTGAACCCAGGAGGCGGAGGTTGCGGTGAGCCGAGATCGCGCCATTGCACTCCAGCCTGGGTAATAAGAGCGAAACTCCGTCTCAAAAAAAAAAAAAAAAAAAAAAAAGACTGTATTTTGTTGTTAGCTTTTATAAATTTAATAATTCCTCAAAGACCTGAAAAAGTGTTTTTGATTGAAATATGGAAGTAAAAAACTTGAAGCAACTGATCATCCATCTTCTTTAACTAGTAATCAGCCTCGTGCAGTGGCTCACGCCTGTGATCCCAGCACTTTGGGAAGCTGAGGCAGGCAGATTGCTTGAGCTCAGTAGTTTGAGACCAGGCTGGGCAACATAGTGAAACAGCATCTGTATAAAAAATACAAAAATTAGCTGGACATGTTGGCGTCTACCTGTAGTCCCACGTACTTGGGAAGCTGAGGCAGGAGAATCAATTGAGCACAGTAGGAGGAGGTTGCATTGAGACAAGATTGTGCTACCGCCTGGGTGACGGAGCCAGACCCTGTTTCCAAAAAAAAAAAAAAGACAACAAAACCTAGTAATCAAACTGTAGACTGTTTCTCGTGGTATATGATATACTCCTTAGCAGTTAGAGAACAGACTTTTAATAACTTTTAATAATGTTGGATACATTGCTTACCATATTTAAATTAGTTAAATAAGGGAAAGTTAAATCATTGTATAACGTGTGCTATGGATTGTGCTTTCTTTGAAATCTGTAGAAATTAATCCTGAGATTGTGCTTTCCTGGAAATCTTTAGAAATTAATCCTGAGATGTAAAATTGTGGCATCTCTTTTCATTTTATTTCATTCCACAGATTTAAAAACTACAGAACTAATTAGAAGAATCGCCGAGCGTTGGAGGGAACTTCCTGAGTCAGAGAAAAAAGTAAGCACATAAATTTTCAACATTGCTGACCAGTTATTCAGCAGTTAGGAGCAATTGTCATGTCCTTTAAAGGACCAGATGAATCAGACCTTTAAAAAATAATCTGTAATCTGGACTAGTGTGATATCTTCCAGGAAGAAAAAATTTAAAAAATAATCTGTTATCTACAAAGAAACTTTATATCTTCCGATCTACATAAATAATGAGAATATGGATGTATGGGGTGGAGGTGAAGAAGTGGCAGCAGTTTGAAAATGGAGGCTGATTACTAAATTCTCACCTTGATTAGTATGTATAAGGAAAATGCATGTTTTAATCCAGATACATCTCATCCCAGAGCACATTTTCCACCTGGTGATAAAATCTGTCTATTTGAAGTCATGTAGTTGCCTTTCCCTGGCACGTGCTATGTTGAATTTGCCAGCAATGTTTTGTTGACTTAATTTGGGTTTTTTATTTATAGATATATGAAGATGCTTATAGGGCAGCCTGGGTGGCATACAAAGAAGAGGTGAACAGAATTGAAGAACAGCTAACTCCATGTCAGATTACGTCTTTGAGACAAGAAATGATACACAAAAATTTAAGAAGGAAATTTATGTTAAAAAAGAGAGTAAGTGTCATTGAAACATTTTTTTGTTACAGTAAAGATTTGAGATTTATATAACTATAAATATAGATAGTTTTCTCTTAATAATAATAATAGGCAGATACAATAAGGTAGAATGTTATTAGGTATTCTCCAGTTAGGCAAAAGTGGGATAGTTCTCTTCTGAAAAGTGAGATAGCCACTAGGACCACTTGTCATTGAGTCTGTTTGGAAATCCTTTTTGCTACTTTCAGATGTGTCCACATTTAAGGTGTACAATTAGTAAAACAGTAATGAAAACTACAGGAACAAAGAATAAAAGTTGGAATTGTTATTGATTATAACCAAATCTTTGCCTCTGAGTCTTCTCTAGAATAACCTATTAATTTGAATTGTTCTATAGATTATGGTGAGTTTGATATGGAATATTGCCAAGTATTCATTAATTCATTAACACATCCGACTGCATTAATTCATTAACACATCAGAAAAGTGCTAATTTATCTAATCAAGTAAGTGCCTTTAGGACGGAATTCTTTTTTTTTCTTCAAAGGAATAACTATTAAAAACCTCACATGCTTCAAAATTTGTAGTTCCTAGCTTAGTGTATTAATTCACATAAATGTCATCATTTGAAAGTTATACATTTATTTCATAGAGCCAGTATTGTGAAGTGGTCAGTTTGCTAGTTATGTACCTACACTATTACAAAATGATCATCAGAGTTAAAACTATTTCTTTGAAAGACTGAATTACGGCCAGGCACGGTGGCTCAAGCCTGTAATCCCAGCACTTTGGGAGGCCGAGGCGGGTGGATCACGAGGTCAGGAGATCGAGACCATCCTGGTCAACATGGTGAAACCCCATCTCTACTAAAAATACAAAAAAAAAACCATTAGCTGGGCATGGTGGCGCGTGCCTGTAATCCCAGCTACTGAGGAGGTTGAGGCAGGAGAATTGCCTGAACCCAGGAGGCGGAGGTTGCAGTGAGCCGAGATCGCGCCATTGCACTCCAGCCTGGGTAACGAGTGAAACTCCGTCTAAAAAAAAAAAAAAAAAAAAAAAAAGACTGGATTACAGCTTTGAATGTGAGATGCTAATACATCTTTCCCTTATCCTAATGTTTTAAGCTGTCCTAGCACTAGGGTTAAGGACCTGCCCAGTTTCAAGTCCATGAAGCTGCTGCTTTAGGGTGGCTGATGTAATTAGTAAAAGTGAGCCAGAAGAGATACTAAGAGTGAAAAATAAGAGTACCTACATAAAGATGGTATTTGGAAGAGTGATTACTAAAGTATGTTTTCCCTCTTTGATTCTTCCTTCCTCCTTAATGCCCCCAGCCTGTGCTAAGACTAAAGAGGACCAGACATGACAATTGGGCATTTATAAAGTTTCCCTTTCCATTCTCTCTTTTGTAATTGTTCTTCCTATTAAAGACTCCCAGTACCAACTAGTTCAGAGATCAGGTGAGAAGTGTGGGGACTAGGAAGTTACAGCTAAAACCCTTAGGAGAGAAATCCCTAGTGGTAGATCTAGAATCAAAGAGGGAAATAGTTAAGTTGTAAAGTGCTTAAAGTTTGTAGTAGTTTCGATACTTAGTGACTGAGAGATTCAGGAAGAAGAAACTAAATCAGGGGATTCCTGCTTATACTTATGAATAAAAGTTGGAATTGTTATTGATTATAACCAAATTGCTATTAAGAGCCATAGAATTTTATAAATTATAGGTACTACTTACTATCCAAATTCAGAAACTAAGTATGATAATGCAATATCATTCCCTGAACTCAGAAACTAAACTGATAGTAATGGATACTTGTATTGTTTTCCATAGTTTCTTCCCTTTTGATAACTAGTAAAATTGAATTTACCACAACTGTGAAGCTTTAAAGGTAGAGACATTCAGGGAATGGAACAAGATGAAAGATTATTAAACAATAGTCCAGTGTTCGTGGGTTGTGGTGGAAGCATGCAGTGATTTGGTCAAGGGGACGTAGTGTCTCGCAAGGATGAACCTGAGATTGTTTTATCTTTTAAAAAGGTTTTGTATGTATACATTCAGTTGTTTAATTTGTGGAGATCATGAGAATAATAGGTAAAGGAAATGGTTTTGTATGGAAAATAACTCATAAAATCTAATATAATTTTTAAAACACTGCTGTCAAAAAATTCTGACCCCAAGTTGGAATAATCACCCTATATAAGAATCATAGCATTCACTTTAAGGGACATTCTGTAATGTTGTAGTAGTGAGTAAAGTTTCTTTAGGTAAAATTAAGTTTCATGGAGGTTAACACTATTTCTGACCCTCTACTTTTTTTTTTATTCAGGAGTTATCACTGCTTGGAAAACCAAAAAGACCTCGTACAGCTTATAACATTTATGTAGCTGAACGCTTCCAAGAAACTATGGATGGCACACCACAGGTAAAGCTGAAATACATTTTTGTTTAATTTTAAAAATATTTATACAGGAAAAATACAGGGTGCTATGTGTCAGGTGGTGAAGAAAAGTAGTGAATTACAGAAATTAAACTCTTTTGATAAGGCCCTCTTTAAAGAAAAATCTTTTTCTTACCACATAGAATCAGTTTGGGTGTGTAGTTGCTAATACATACATACATACATAGCCAACTTTTTAAATTTAAATACTTACATTTTTAAAATATGTAGGGATGTTAAAGTTCTTCTGGAGGTTTTTCTGGTCCAGCAGTTCTTAACTGTTTTACAATCACTACAAAGAATGAGAGTAGAGCTGCAATATTTTCTATGGGGAATTGATTGTAACCTATTGCTTCATGTTGTATCTTTTAATAAAATTTTGGTTATGCCTATGGGGATATGTTATACATGTGAATGTCATCATATCAGTGTGTCAAAGAAAAAAGGAAGCTTGTCATTCCCCGCTGTGGCTTAGTCTTACCTAATTTTTGGTTCTTAGAAGCTCCAAATGGGCAATTGCTTTTTTTCTTGTATCATATAACCTGGTAAAAGAAATCGATGTTTGGATCCTTAACCCGTGTTAATATAAAATGAAGTTTTTGGCACTCTGCCTTCAGGATTATAAGATCTGTTGTTCATTTTAGAAATTCTGTTTCCATATCCCTAAGTAACATTCTTATATTGTTGCTTCTTGATTTTTTTCAACTTTAATCATTGTTTATCTTATGTTTTAAGCGTTACCTCCACGGTTTAAGATAGACATTTAACTGTCACCCCACTGTTCTCATGTTTGCATTCTCCTACCTCCCATATAGTTATCTTGTATGCTTATATGAGGTTGGTGCAAAAGTAATTGTGATATTTGTCATTAAAAGTAATGGCAAACACAACAGTTACTTTTGCACCATCCTAATATTATGACTATGATTATGTAAGCCCTGTTCACAGCTGGACTATGTCATGTGCCATGATTATTTTTTCTTTCTTACAAAACTTATTTTCCCTGAAGTTGATGATGTCTCTTTGTTTGTTCACTTAGGGTTTTTTTTTTGTACTTACCAGTAATTCACCCTCAAACTCCTCAATATTCACCAGATTTTAGTAAATTTAGGAAGTATTTTTCCTTCAGTTTTACTCTGAAAACTGGGGTTTGTTCCAGTTTGACTGTTGCTTTCTAATCCTAGTATATAGCTAACATCTTGGGATCTCCCTCATTATCCTGTGGTGCTGCTTTTGCTTTTGTTGTTAACTTTTTTGGTTTACTCTGATTCCTGTATAGCATCTTCCCCAGTAAGGGTGCATGGGAGATTAAGTTTTTGAGTTTTGCATGTTTGAAAATGTTCTCACATTCATTTGTTAGACTGGGCATAGAATTCTAGTTTGGAAAACATGTTCCTTCAAAATGCAAAAATTCCTTTTCTACTACCTTATTGTACTGCTTTTGATAAATTTAAAACTGTTTTGATTATTGGTCCTTTGAATGTGATCTGGCGCTTTTTTTTTTCTCTCCTTTAGAACTCCTTTTACTTGTATATGCATCTTCTGAGCTGGTCCTCTAATTTTCTTATTTTTTCTTAATGTTTTCCTTTAGCCTTCTTTGCTTCCCCCCCTCCCCAGCTACTGTATACATTTTAACTTAATCTCTCTACTTTTAGCATGGTACCATTTCCCTCAGCTGTATCTGGTTTTTACAGAGTGACAGTATTTTACTCTCTGGAGAGGATAAATGTCCTAAAATTTGCCATGGTAGAAATTTAACCTTTTTTTTTTTTTTTTTTTTTTTTTTTTTTTTTTTTTTTTTTGTGAGGGGAACAGGCAGCCTGTTGCCCAGGCTGTAGCACAGTGGCACAATCTTGGCTTACTGCAATCCCTGCCTTCCAGGATCAGGCGATTCCTCCACCCCAGCCTCTCGAGTAGCTGGGTCTACAGTCACCAAGCCTAGCTAATTTTTTCGAGTATTTAGTAGAGACGGAGGTCTCACCCTTATTACCCCAGGCTGGTCTCGAACTCCTGAGCTCTGGTGATCCACCCACCTCAGCCTCCCAAAGTGCTGGGATTCCAGGTGTGAGCCACTGCACCTGACCTAATCTCTTTTTAAACAGTCTTTCAACCAATCTTGTGTTTAACCTTAGCTTCACCTGTTTACACCTATCTGGTGCTGCCAATTCCTACGATATTTGGGCATTCTGTATTGTAAATCAAGTTGCTTTTAGGTTTTCTCCACTGGCAGTTTTACAGTTAGCTTTCTTCCATCAGTTAAGTCAGTTGCCACTAATGCATTTGCTTTTCAGCTTCCAGAATTTTGTGTTGATAGTGCCCTCTTCTGTTGTCTTTGTTCATGTGAATTTATGCCTTAAAAGGGTTTCTTTGTTTAATGGGATTTTAGAGGGAGCAAAAGTCAGCATCTTTGGCTGGGCACTGTGGCTCAGGCCTGTAATTCCAACAATTTGGGAAGCTGGGGTGGGAGGGTTGCTTGATTTCAGGAGTTCAAGACCAGCCTAGGCAACATGGTGAGACCTCATCTTTACAAAAAAGTTTTTAAAAATATTAACCAGGCATGGTGATACACACCTGTGGTCCCAGTTACTCCAGAAGTTGAGGCAGGAGGATCACTTGAGCCCAGGAGATCAAGGCTGCAGTGAGTTGTGATCATACTACTACATTCCAGCCTGGGTGACAGAGTGAAACTTTACCTCAAAAAAAAGTTTTCTTTCTCTTTAATTTTATAAATCAAGAGCCAAGCCCAAGGGAGGTAAAATGACCTTTTTCCAGGTCATATAATTAAGTTCAGCTAAGTAGATTTGCTGGGTTTGTGTTGTGTTATTCCTATTACTGTATCTAAACATTTAAGCACAAATTTTCAAATGAAACATAAAACTACAGGGAAGGAATAAAAATAGACTTTGAGATTAGTTTATGACAACATATAGATTATACCTGAATGTTAATATTTCTGAATCAAAAATAAGTACCTTATTCAATTTGTTTTTGTAAATTTTAACAATTTGATAGTTTTTGTTTAGAGAGAAAAGATGTTAAGAACTAATGATACTTTGCCTATAATTTTTGGTATCTGAGTTTTTGTTGTTGGAAGAATAATAAAGGTCCTTAATCACTGAAGTCCCTTAACTGCCTTAACTTAAACATACATTGTTTTACAGGAAAAGCTGAAGACTGTAGTTGAAAGCTGGAAAAATCTGCCTAGTTCTGAAAAGAAAGTGAGTATTGTGGTTGTTAGTCTCAAGTGTCTAGTTAGGATATCTGTGAGAGAATATATTTGGGTAAGTCTTGACTAATGTGAAGACAACCATATATTATTAGTAATACAGGTATTCTAAAATTATTTTCATATTCTCAGAACCAATTTGGCATTTTTCTCTTGGTAATTTTTATCTGCAAATAAAATTGGTATTTGCAACCATAGCACTCATAAGCCCGGTTGTCCACTGTATTGAGTGGCAGTCCTACCCTGTTGCTGCATACCCTGCTATCCCTTCCTACACCTCAAAATCTGAACTTGTAACAATTGCAAAGAGATAATGGTCTGTCTCTTTACATTTTCCTCACCTAACTTTTATCTCATGAAAATATTTCTTCTCCAGTCTCCCTTTATACATGCTGAATGGCAATGTAATTTCTAAAGTATATACAGAAGCATTTCAGAAATTAATTGCTATTTTAAATAATTATTTTAGTAAATAAGTAAATCATTTTAACAGTTATGCTTTTTCTCAGATATATATTCAGCTTGCTGAAGATGATAAAATTCGTTATGATAATGAAATTAAGTCTTGGGAAGAACAGATGATTGAAGTTGGGAGAAGGGATCTTTTACGAAGAGTGAAGCAACCATCAAAAGATGACACAGACGTATTAGAAGTAGAAGATTGAGACGTGTTCACAATGGATAGGCACAAGAAGCCAGTTAGGTCTCAATACCTGAAGCTGTTATAAAATTAGAAATTTCTTTTTCTTCAGCTCATGGACCTCTGCCAGTGTAATACTTGCTTTGGAAAACCCAGATAAAGGTTTATGCAAAATTTATTTTGTATTTAGGAACTACTGAGGATCAAAGTAATCCATGCAAATGTGAATTATTTTACCTTTGATAAAGGTAAATCAGACTATGAAGTTTTTTTATACAGGATGATGGCTATGTAAAGAGTATTCTTGTTTCCTTATATTATGGAGGCAGGAGTTTCCTTTTCATAATTGTTACAAATTGTAGAAGCCACAGTGTTCTGTGATATAATTGTGCATTTTTCAAAAAGCAGCCTGAACTCATCTAGGTAAATTCCAGTTCCTAGGTATAATTCATATTATATTCAGAATTGATGGTTGTACATGTAAGTGATTGCTAGTTTCAGTTGCAACTTTTTATAAAAGGGGCTGAGAAATTTATAAACCTTTTTGTCACTGTCTTTTTTCTAAAGTAAAAACAAAGAAATTATGTACCAGATCTATGCATATTATGTTGCATAGAATCAAAATTTTAATCTTTAATTTTACATTTTCTAATTATATATTTTAAGATTAAACATTTGTTTTAACAGCTTTTTTTTTTTAAGTAAGGAATTATATTTTTTTCTGAATTATTTTCTCTTATGTGAGTATATTGATCAGAAAGAAAACTTGTATATATTTTAAAATGAGAAATCTAAAAAATGAAAAGTCTCCAAAGTCTCTGGAATTTGAAACACTTTGCATAACGTATAAAAACCTGTGTAAGAGACAGCCAACTATGGCCTGTGGGCCAAATCCAGCCTGCTGCCTGCTTTTTATGGCTGGTGAGCTAGGAATTATGCTTATAGTTTTAAATTTTTTTGAAGACTTTTATGATACATGAAAATTATTAACATGAATATTCATAAAGTTTATTGGAACAAAACCAGAATCATTCTTTTACTTGTCTACAGCTGCTTTTCTGTTATAGTGACAGAGTAGCTGCCAAAGAAACTACAGTCCACAAAGCCTGATATTTACTGTGTCTATTTACAGAAAAAATTTGCCAATTCATGGTCTATAATATAGTGTGATACATTGGAACAACTGTTCCAATGTATTGAGGTGTTGGGATAGTTTTTTCAACTGTTTTCAGATATGGTTTTAGAATCATTGTCACCTTTAAGAGGAAATAGGTTATCACTATGTAAACCTAACAAATTGTTGTTTCTCAAGTATCTATTTCACCAAGGAAAATAATCTAGTTTCAAATTACATTGCGGTATAATGAAAAAGATCCATGTAGTGTGGAATGAGAGTCTTAAAATTACTTGCTATGGCTTAGTAAAATGTACCTTTTCCAATTAGCACATATCACAAAAACCTCACTATTGTTGAAAGCCAGCTTTCTTTAGCATTTGTTCATCCTTTCAGGAGAGTCAAGCAAGGTTTTCAAAATCCACACCACCTGTTTGAGCAGAATAATTCATCTTTTTTTTTTTTTTTGAGATGGAGTCTTGCTGTTGCCCAGACTGGAGTGCAGTGGCACGATCTTGGCTCCCTGCAACCTCTGCCTCCCTGGTTCAAGTGATTCTCCTGCCTCATCCTCCCAAGTAGCTGCAATTACAGGCACGTGCCCACTATGCCCAGCTAATTTTTTGTATTTTTAGTAGAGACGGGGTTTCATCATGTTAGCCAGGATGGTCTCGATCTCCTGACATTGTGATCTGCCCACCTCAGCCTGCCAAAGTGCAGGGATTCCAGGCATGAGCCACGACGCCTGACCTCATCTTTCATCATCAGTTCACAGGTACAGGATAACTCAATTTATATGCACTGTATACGTTATGCAGAATATTTAGAAATTGTAGACTCTAGATCTCCAGAAAGACTTTGAAGACTTTGATGTCACAAAAGGATGACTTGTTATATGCTGAGCTTGACAAAGGTAGAAATGGGAGAGAAAAATAATAGTTTATGAGGACAGATGAGACTTAAATATGTAAAGTTGGATGTTTTACAATAACTTCTCCCTATGGTTGCTTCTCCCTCTGGGTGTAGACAGGACAGTGTCAGCCATTGGTGAAATAGATACGATGGGTTTGAGGCCAGCAGTTTGGGAGTAGGGAGAAAGAGAAAGAGGTGTGCTAGTGTCTGTCACAGGCTTTCTCAATTAGGTTTTCAGGAGAAAATGCAGCCCTAATTTCCTGTATCATCTAGAATGGTACTAATTATGTACAATCAATTGTAACTCAAATCATTGACTCAGTTCTATTCTGTTCAGATGAGCTCAGAGTGCACATAGGAGTGTTTGTAATGAGTGAGTTGGAGGAATGAGTTATGCAAACATCTCAGGACAAATGCAGCATAAAAAACATTGCTGTAGTTAACTCTGCAGGGAAATTTCCTCTGAGCTCTTTTAACATTAACTACCTGTACTGTTTTATACTTAATATTCACATCATACCTTCCCAAATATATTGGGAAGTTCAGCATTAAGTATGTTTGTCGAATACTTACAACTTCATTGGGAAGAAAGGTGTAAACAGTGAAGAGTTAGAGCAAAACGATTTTATGATAATTTTATGGTAATTTCAAATTGGATTTGGTTCTCTGTTCCTAAAATAGTGTAATTTTTAATATTTTAAATAATAGGATAATCTGTTTTCCAAGCCTTATTTCCCCTCCTGACATCCAGAATGCACACTGGATCCAAGCCTTTCTTGAACTTCAGTACACATGGAAGACTGACATGCCATATACCAAATGCAGTTTACCTTGAACAGTAGACACAGATTTTCTGTTATAAAGAATAAGAGCCTCAGTAACCAGTGATCACTCATATAAAGCCTTATTATTTGGTGTGTGTGTGTGTTAGGTCTCATTATGTTGCCCAGGCTGGAGGGCATGCTGTGATCTTGGCTCACTGCAGCCTTGATCTCCTGGGCTCAAGTGATCCTTCTAAATAATTGGGATTACAATAGGCACACACCACCATGCCTGGCTAATTTTTGTATTTTTTTGTAGAGTTGGAGTCTTGCTGTGTTTCCCAGGCCCGTCTCAAACTCCTGGCATCCAGCGATTCTCCTTTCTTGGCCTCCCAAAGTGCTGGGATTCTAGGCATGAGCTACCATGCTTGGCCATAAACAAAGCCTTACTATTATTTTTGAAGACACAGTCTTGCCCTGTCCAGGGTAGAATGCAGTGGCATGATCATGGCTCACTGCAGCCTTGAACTCCTGGGCTCAAGATATCCTCCCATCTCAGCCTCCTGAGTAGCTAGGATTATAGGTACAAACCATTAGACCTGGCTATTATTTTTTAGACTTTTCTTAATTTGATCCAACAAAGTAGTTGCTATAGGAACTGAGAGGTAGAAGGAAAGGTGCTGAAGAAATGAAATAAAGCAAGGTATATACTGTCATGAGTAGTCATATAGTAGTTAATACTAGGTTTTATAAAAGTAATTAGATGAGGGGAGAGAGGGTTGTGTGTTTATTTTACTTTGTGATCTTTACTTAATAGTGTGTGCAAATTCAGGGTACTATAATTCTGTAACTATGTTATTGCTTTTGGCTAACTCCTTTTTTGGAAACATGTTTTTTTTGTACAGGGTGTATGTTATTTTTTTCTAACTGCTCTGAATGTGTGTATTTCGATTTCTGAATTGAAAAAATTATAGTAGCATACTTAAGTAGATTTAAAGTAATTAGAATACTTTATTTTTCTGATGCTGTCTGTACCTAAAATTTATCACCACCAGGTTGTGCTAAAACAGCAGGAAATTTTTATATTGTGAGTGACAGTATCCATTATTTCTCTTAATTTTACTAACATTTACTATAAGAATATTCTCTCCCTCTTTTCTCCATTCACAGCTACTCTCCCTCCTTTTCTTCATAACATCAAGCTATCACAGACAAATCTGAAAATGTTACAAGCACAGACTATGTTGTATGTTTTGAAATTTTAAAGCAGTAATGTTCCTTTTAAAATTGAACTTCTGGAAAGAATAAGAATATTAATACATTTATTACTTTAAATTTGTAAGGCTTTTCAAACAAAAAGCAAAACCGCACAAAGCTAGTGTCAGTCTCTCACATTGTTCACAAATAAAGAACTTTTGATAGTTTATTAAATCACTGATTATATTTGATATGAAATACATAAAACATACAACCATTCTCTAAGATATTTCAAAATGTTTCATTGGTTAAGGAGCCAGTAAATAAAGTTGACCCTAAACAAGAATTTTAAATAAACAAAACATTTTTTAATCATCGAGCATCATTTATATATTGGTTTCTGATTTACATATGTGATGTCTAAGAAAATTTCTGACTTTATTCTTTTTTGCCAGTATTAATTTAAAATTTATCTCATTTCATCTTCCCTTTCCCCAAAATCAGGTATACAGTGGGGAGTATGAAAGGAGTACATAGTTATGACATGGTGACTTTTTATTATATAGGTTACCGACTGCTAGCCTTCATATTTTTAGAAAGTGCATATTTGATTAGACCCATCTATGAGGTTCTATTTTTTTTTTTTTTAAACTGGAAATTTCGTGCATTAAATGTTGGGTAGGATTAAGTGATGAGACAACGAGTCTAAATTTATTAATCGTTGAAAAGTGCTGAAGTATTACCAACCATCTTACTCATTTCTGTATTTTTCCCCCTAAGTTACCAGTTAGAACAGGCCATCAGTAGTTATGTAACTAAGATGAAGAGGAATTTTAGTGTCAGTGGATACTTATTGATGCCAGTAGTTTTTCCAAGCTGGAATTTATACTGTGACTATCAGGCAATATTTAGATGGGGGTAATGGAGAATTTTTTAAAGTATAGAAATTTTCTCTTAATGCTGACATAAATAACATCTAATGTTGTAGAAGCCTAATATCAAATATTAATTGGACTGAAATAGTTCAGAATATTTTCCCAAAACGATTTCTTACCACTCAATTTTTACTTTTGCGGAGCTTCTACTTACCATTTGTAATAACCTAAATGACAATAAAGTGAAGAAAAAAAGATTTGAAAATGGTGAAACCACCTTCTTCCAAATATCATTCAGGTGACTAAAATGCAAAACCAAGTACAGTAGACAAATAATAGCAACACTAGATAATAAGAAATAACACCATCAATAGAACAGCAATTTCTAGGTATTTTTGGAAGAAAGGAGGGACATAGGGATTGACAGGTGTTTGTTGGTGTCCGTGTGAGCAAACCACATGGTGTGAGTGAAGCAGAAGTGGAGAGGTCTCACCAATTCTGAGTAGTGAGGGCTAGTAACAAGATTAACCCTAAGATGCATGGAGATTGGTGTGGTGGCTGGTTTCTATAGTCCCAGCTACTCAGGAGGCTGAGATGGGAGGGTCACTTGACCCAGGAGTTGGATTCAAGCCTGGGCAACATGGCGGGACCCTATCTTAAAAGCCCTTAAGATGGTTGGAGAGAAATTAGGGGGTGCATGGGGGCAGGAAAGGGGTAAGTGTGCGTAGACATAAGGTTTGCTTTTTTCTCTCCAGTGAATATTTTACTCAAACTGAGGAAAGTAGAGTGATATGCTAATGTAGGGTAGGTTTTTTTCAAGCTAGGTGCTGTGATTCTCAACAGTAGCTGAGGAGGATCAACTCTTAATGCATGCAGATACCTGGACTAGAATCTGGAGGGTGGAACTGGCCTTTATAATAAAGTTCTTTAGGTTAAAAAATGTGGATGTAGTGTTTGTGGGAGTAGTGCTGTAACTCAGAGCTTCCTAACTTTCTAAGCTGGCAGTAGTGGCTGATAGTGAATGAATCATGTATGTGGCAATCCTACACTTGTTACTGTATGTTATAGCCATCCTAGTGGGTGTGAAGTATCTCATGATTTTGATGTGTTTACATTTGGACTAATGATGTTGACCATTTATGTGCTTATTGGCTACTTGTATGTCTTTGGCAAAATACCTATTCCAGTTCTTTGCCTGTTTCGAAATGGGTTATCTCACTTATTACAGAGTTTCAGTAGTTCCTTATATATACTAGATCTAAGGCCACTATAAAATAAATTAATTGCAAATATTTTCTCCCATTCCAGGAGTTGTTTTTTCACTTTACTGATGGTATCAGTTGCAGCATAAAATTTTTAACTTTGATGGGGTCTGGTTTATTTCATTTTGTTTGTGCTTTTGCTGTCATATATGAGAGACCATTGCAAAATTGAAGATTGTGAAGATTTACCGCCTGTATATTCTTCTGTTTTATAGTTTTAGCTCTTACATGTAGTTCTATCCATCTTGAGTTACTTTTTGTATATGTTGTCAGATAGGTGTCTGGCTTCATTCTTTCACCTGTGGATATCTGTTTTCCTTGCACCATTTGTTGAAAAGATTATTCTTTCTCTGTTGTATTGTCTTTACACCCTTGTGAAAAATCAATTGACCACAGATCTTTGGGTTTATATATGAAGTCTCAATTCTATTATATTGACTTGTATGTTACCTTTATGCCAGTACCACACTGTCTTGACTACTGTAATTTGTTACAAGTTTTGTAATAGGAAGTATGAGATCTCCAGCTTTGCTTTTTTTTTTTTTTTTGAAGATTGTTTTAACTATTCTGGATCTCTTTCATATTCATAAGAATTTTAGGATCAGGTTGTCAATTTCTGTAAAGAAACCAGCAGGGTTTTGACAGGAATATGTTGGGTCTGTAGTTAAACTTGGTGCTTTTGTATATTAGCTTCTAGTATTCTGTGTCATCAATGGCATCTTCATATTAACTTGCATATGGCAGATTATAAATTTGTTCTCTACATAATTTTGGAGCATGATTGTGGGCTAACCTACCAGTGAGAGTGGCTGCCGTGCAGCTAATAGTCTTCTGTATTTGTGGAAAGGCAGGAGGAACAGGGCATTCATTGTCTCATGTCAGTATAGAGAGAATTTGGTTGATTCAAGAGGTATTTAAGAGGTTGAATCCATAGAACTTGATAATTGGTGGAGTGTGAGAGATAAGATAGAGAAATATAGAAAAGACTATGCTTAAGTTTCTTTAGGCAGCCAAGATGGGGAATGTTGAAAAAGGAACTGAATTCCTTCAACTTGATTATTTCTCTACCTAGACTATAGATTTCTGGTTCCTCTAGGCTATTGTATCCACAGGGCTCAAGAGGTAGGACAAGGCCAGGATTTAGGATGCAGGAAGGAATACAAAAATATATTAAGGCTGGAAGTGTTGATAGAGTTACTACATTAGGCATAGGCAAGTTTTTATCTGTATAGAGACAAACATAAGAGCTCTGAATACATCCAAATAAATCAGAGCATGCATTCAAGGACATCAATACTACTGGGGACAGAAAGGTGAGGCATCAGTACTGTAAGTGAAGATAGACAACCTGAGATGTCATTGTAGGCAGAAGTTAGGCTGGGGTCTCCAGAATCAAATGTTCAACTGACAGCAAGTGTGAAGGAGGACTTTGTCAGGGAGAACTGGGATGTGTTTCCAGAACCAGGAGAGTAGAATAAATACAATGGCATCTACCTGGAGTCTGAAGTTCTTCCAAACTAATGTTTATCAAAGAAATTTTAAGAATCATCTGCAAAACATCTACAGTGGAAATTCCTGGATCTTTCTCTCAGCAGGTCAAAAAGAAGCTCAAGTGATTCTGCCACAAATGGGAATGTTGATCATAATTTAAGAAACACTGATGGAACTATCAAAAAGACCAATCTCATGATGAAATCAGCAGGCTGCTAGGTCGTATGTCCTCTTTTGAGGTCTAGGACAAATCCTAATGTATGAATGGAGATTGGGGTTATCTATCTGAGGTAGAGCTGTTACCAAAAAGGGGATCTTGATCCAGACCCCAAGAGAAGCTTGGATCTTGCACAGGAAAGAATTCAAGATGTTGCAAAGTGCAGTGAGAAGAGATAGTTTATTGAAAGCTCCATTACAGACTAGGGTGTCCTCAGGAAACAAGCAGAGGAAATGCACTGTCTTTAAATTTTTCTTATATAGGGGTCTTCTCTGTGTAAAGACTAAGGTGTGTGTACAGGCAGATAATGCAGATAACATGACCAAATTTGGTCCTTTATTGATTTCAGGAACTCTATCCTTGGCCAGGTGCAGTGGCTCACGCCTGTAATTCCAGCACTTTGAGGGACCTAGATGGGCAGATCATTTGAGGCCAGGAGTTCAAGACCAGCCTGACAAACATGGTGAAACCCCATCTGTACTACAAAATATAAAAATCAGCCATGTGTGGTGGCGCACACCTGTAATCCCAGCTACTCAAGAGGTTGAGGCAGGAGGATCGCTTGAACCAGGAGGTGGAAGTTGCAGTGAGCTGAGGTCATGCCATTGCACTCCAGCTTGGGTGACAGAGCAAGACTCCATCTCAAATAAGTAAATCAATCCACCCTTGACATCTTAGTGTGTAAGTGCATCAAAGCATTACTGTAATTCTTGGAAGCATATATTGTTATGGGTATTGGGACATCTGGACTTTGTGTTGTAGGAGTTTGTTCTTACAGGTGTCTCGAAGCTGTTTTCTTAGCTGTGACCATCTTAGGACCATGGGTCATGACTGGGAAGTTTAAGATGGAGTTGATTTTAAAATGTGTCACTGGCTTTTCTAGGCTTCTGCTTCCCTAATTCAGTCACACTAGATAGATATTTGGCGAGTCATATCCTGTCATCTTCTAAAGCAGGGTTTCTTGACCTGGTTGTGGGGGAGTGAGGGTAGAGCAGTTTGCTTAAGAACATTTGGCATTATTCTGAGAAATACATGATTGTCATGACTGGGGAGGGTACTACTGGCATCTAGTGGGTAGAGGACAAGGACACTGCTAAACATGCATGTGCAGAGTTGTCTCCACAGCAAAGAATTGTCCAGTTCCAAACATCAGTTTTGCTGCTGTTGAGAAAACCTGCTCCATATCCTGAACTGACATAGGATCTTGTAATAAAGAGAAGAGTAATTGCTTGCCAGATTCAAGAGACATGGCTAAGGTAGTTAGAACTACTCTTTTTCTTTGGAGTTGCTAAAATTAGCAATATCCACACCACTAATGAAAGAAATACTAAACTTTTTGGAAAGAAGGATTAGGGAGAAGGGTATGCAGTGAGACAGGAAAGCCCCAGGAACTCCCCTGAAGTCTTTTCCATCAATACTGATCTATGACAATAACTGTGTGCATGGTATTAGAAATCCCTGTGGAAAGTGACCAGTAAGGAGAGCTTGTGCTTGTGTAACAGTTTAGTTTATAAAGCACTTGTACACTGTTTAGCTTCTTTGCGTTGGGAAGTAAACCAGGATTATTTGTTTCCTGTGGCTGCTGTAACAAATAACCAGAAATTTGGTGACTTCAAACAATGTAAATTTATTCTCTAACTGTTCTAAAGTCTAGAAGTAATCCTGGCTCATGCCTGTAATCCTAGCACTTTGGGGGACTGAGGCAAGAGGATCACTTCAGCCGGGGTTTTGAGACCAATCTGGGCAACATGGTGAGACCTCATCTCTAGTAAAAATTTAGCTAGTAATGATCGTGGTACACACCTGTATTCCCAGCTACTTGGGAGGCTGAGGTGGGAGGATCACTTGAGCCAAGCAGTTTGAGGCTTCGGTAAGCTGAGACTGCACCACTGCACTCTAGCCTGGACAACAGAGCTGGGCCTTGTCTTAAAAAAATAATAAAAGTAATTTTTAAAAGGCGAGAAGTCAAAAATCAAGTGTCAACAGAACCGCAATCCTTGTGGAGGCTCTAGGGAAGATCTGCTCTTTGTTTCTTCCAGTTTCTGGTGCTGTCAGCATTCTTTGGCTTGTCGTAGCTGCAGCTCCCTCTGCTCTGTTTTTATATCTCTTCTTCTCTATGTGTCCCCAAACTCAATCTGCCTTTCTTTCCCAAGGATACGTGTGATCTCATTTAGGGTCCTCCCAGTTAATCAGAAAAAAACCCTTCATCTCAAGAAACTCAATCATATCTTTTGCTTTATAATAATACTCATGGACTGCAGGGATTAGGGTGCAAGCATTTCCTTCTTGGGCCTACCATTCACCTCACTATACAAAACAACAGTGATACCCATTTTATAGATTATTTACTAGGTCACATGGCTAATTAATCGTGGAATTTAGCATTGAGCTCAAATCCTGGTTTCATCTTTCATCACTGTAGGGAATATTACAAGAAACAAAGATGAGGGAAAAAACAGGCACAGAAAGAGAATAGAGGAGCAATAGGGATGTCTTTTATTTATTAACTTATCATAGCTCTTCTGGAGCAAGAATACCTATATAAATTTGGATTTAACTTTTAAGATTTCCTATGTCTTCAGGCTTTAAGTACTTAAAATTTCTGGATAGTGTGATCATTGTAATTGTTATTGAATGCACTTGTTAAAAGCAACATTAATGTATTATAATTTGGTGGGAGGCATAAAAACCGAATTTCTACCTATCAGGGAAAGAATAAACTAAATAAGATGTATTTATATGATAGAATGCTCGGCAATAAAAAGTCAGAAACTACTCATGTGTACATTAGCATGAATAAATTTCAAAAATGTGCTAAAAGAAGCCAGACATAAAAGAGTATATACTGTAGGATTCCATTTATATTAAAATACTAGAAAATGCAAACCAGTCATTAGTGGCAAAAGCAGACTGTTAATTCCCTGGGACTGGTATAGATGGAGTGACACACTGCCAAGCTTTGTGAGGAAACTCTTAGGGATGATGGAGATGTTCTTTAACTTGAGTGTGGTAGTGAGTTCAGAGTGTAATCATTTATCAAAATTTATTGACTTGTACAGTTTGAATGAATATGGCCTATTGTACATAAATTACACTTCGATAAAGTTATATGTTTTAGGTTTTTATAAATATTAAAGAGAAAGTGAAATTGCATTGGAAATACACAGAAGAATAAATCTTTATTCAAAGCAGTAAAAGTCTGTTACTCATTCTTGAACCAGACCTATTAGTGCTGCTACAGATTCACTCCCTATCCTCAAGTCTGACCTTAGTTCCCAGTATTCTACCTGTAACTTTCTTCCTCACCTCTGCTATTTTTCACACACATCAGACCATGTACCCACTTCTGAGACTTTACTCTGGCTTTTCTCTCCTCCTGTAATTCTCTTTCCCCAGAGATCCATAAGTGTCTCTCCCCTATTTTTCCTTTAAGTCTTTTCTCAAATGTCATATTTTCAAAGAGGATCACTCTAAACATCTTTTGATATGGCAACATGTATCTCCATGTCCACACTCCCATCTCTCTTGGCTCTTTATTCTGTAGACCTTAACACTTCTAAATTACTAATTTCCTCATGTTAATTATGTATTGCTATTAGGAATTGTATACTCCAGGAGGGCAGAAATCTTTGTTCTCTGTTGTGCTCCCATACCTAGAATTCTGCCTGGCACATACTCAGTACTCGGTAAACACTGAATTTTAAAAATGAGTGAAAGTAGACTTAAAATGAAACACTTTTCATGTTAATATATATATGAATCAATAAGATCCCTTGTTAAACATTTTCAGCCCTTCTAGGGACTTCTATGAGGATGCCCTGTCTAAAACAAAGACAAAAAAACCTTCAAAGAGGCTGATTCAATGTTTTTGAGACATAAACAGCAAGTTATAAATACTATAGAATTCTGGAGCACTCAAAATTTTCATTTGATGAACTAACTCCAGTGTTAACACAGAGTCTTGGATGTGAAGCAGGGTTTTGTAAGGCTGAGCACTTGCTCTTCCTTCCAATGAGAACACCATCCTTACGGGGAGAAGTAAATTTGACAAAAATTAAATTCAGGATGGTTGTACAGATGTGTTGAGTTGCCCAGCTGGAAACAGTACCACTACCTGGGGGAAAACACTTCTTACAACTTCTAAATAGATGGTTCTTCAAATGAATTGAAAGAGTACACCAAATATGAAGCAGCATAGGAAACGGTAGCAGGAGGGGTCAAGGGTAGTCAGTTAACCTTCCTTTTGCCACAGGGCTTCTGTCACATTTCAACTCCTTCCTTGGACAGCACAAGAGCTTTATGATTTGAGTCACATCACTGAAACCTAGCTTGTCAGTGCCCTTATCACTTCCAAATCAGAGGAATGTTCACCTCTGACAAAAGTGTCATAGCTTAGGTAGATTTGTTGAATTTGGATTTAGCACCCAAAATGGCAGTAGGAAGTCAGAACTGGGTTAG